CAACACATCTTTGTAGTAACGAGAGTGTCTTATGTTGTTTTCACATTCAGACTTAAAAGCACAACTCGAGAAATGACTCTGAAATGGCTCTGGTGGCAGCAGGTAGCCTTCCGTTAACTAAGCTAAACATGCTTAAATTAAAATGCCTAAAGCTAAACTTCCCTTGTATTCACATTTCTAAACCTGTTGTCCAACAAAAGAGAACATTATAACCTTTTTACTCCACAACACCAGTCAAATGCTTCCTTTTGTGATCTGATGTGGCTTCTTGTCACAGAATGAGGCAGAAAATATGTTCCATAGGCTACTTTAAAAAGAATACATCGATTAGCAATGGATTATAAATATACTTAATTATTATTAAAATACCAGAGATGGCTTTAATAACACAGATAAACTATATTGTCGCAGTAGATTGTTTATTGTCTTTGTTTTATCATTCAAAACGTTTGTATGTTCTGTTTACTCAGTTACAGCTATAATAGCGATACCTTTGTCCATATAAGGGACTTCCTGGAGGGTCAAGAGTTTCTCTACTTCTGTGACTGGATATTAGATGCTGCTGTGAGAGGTTTGGCACGACATGCAGCGACACCGTCTCAGTCTCTTTCCGGTGCGGGTGAAATAATTATACTGCTGAAGGTGAGGTACTCACCTTCATATTTCTTCATGATATAACTTATAAAGTAATTTGAAAACCTTGTGTGAGACGTAATTTCACAAACAGCGTGAGTGAATCACCGCACGTGCTCTCTCTTTCTCTCTCAAAATAGGCAAATGTCTTCAAATCACCACATGGCGTTTGTCTATAGGCGAGCTGCACGCTGCACAGTTGACACAGGAATTGTCACTTGCACAATCGAGGCAGTGTCGCATCTTCACTAAAGTTTATAAATTGCATTACTTTTTAATTCTTGCCAAGTCTATTGCTGCGCTGCAAGCTCTGAATTAAAGTAACAGCGCATTGTTTTCAGTAAATACAAACATGGATTGACATGAAAATGCCACTGGATGCAACGAATGCCTCGTTTATAATGGGTTTTCATGTTTTTGTCTCGTCACAAAAACATGAAAACCCATTATATGAAACAGACATCATGTGTTTATAGTGCTAATGGCCAATCCATTATTTTTTGGGGAATTGTTTTTTTTAATTTTTTTTATAAGTATCGGTTCAGGCACCGGAACCGTTTTAGAAGTATCGATTTGGCACCGGTATCGAGAAAAAAAAACAAACGATACCCAACAGGAACAATCATGATAATCTTTCTTACACAAGATAGATTTTATTAAATGCGTCCCTGCGTGAGCTCCATAACTTCATTGTGTAATGACTACATGTGCTACTACTATGACAGAGCTGACAGATTTTTTTTTTTACTTTGTAAAAACTGAAGCATGGTGTATGTACTCTCATGTTAATTTTTCGAGCAGTTTCTAAATTTAGTCTCAGTCCGGTGATAAATGTCCTTTTTTTTTTAATTATATTTAGTCAACCTATCCTTTTTTTTTTTTTTTTGTCAAGTTTTAGTTGTCAAAGTCTGGGAATTTTAGTCCAGATTTGAAAATTTGTGGTTAAATTTATAATCACAATTATTTGCTCAAAACTATAATTAAATTTTGTTGTCATTTGAGAAATGTAATCAGAATTAATTGCAATTTCACCAATAACCACAAATAAAGGCGCAGTCGTGGCCTAATGGTTAGAAAGCCTGACTTGGGTTCGAGTCTCAGGTTTGGCAGGGATTGTACAGTTCGCCAGTCAGAAGGTTTGATGGCAGATTAGCACAGCAAACAGCGCAAACATCCGTGTGAAGGAACACAGACTGGCTCTATTACAATTTAATCTGAGCAGCACATCTCAGTGGAGATCACAAAACTCCAAATTACATTTAAACTCTTGACATCTAGAAACCCATGGAGGTCTATATTTTTCTCCTCTATTTTATAAACTACATTTTAGTCTCCTCATTTTCATTAATGATATTGCATGTTGATATAGTCATAGTGTGTGTTTATTGATTGTCTCATCTTTGTCTAGTCTTAGTCATGCAAAAAGTTACAAATATTTTCATCACAGTTCTTGTTAAAGAAATGAACACTAGTGCGCTGTAACAGCACTATTATAGAGTATACAATGTGAAAGCTGATATTATGATGTCACTCACTTCACAAAAACCAAACACAAACTGATAGTGCAGGTGTTCAATGCGTGGTGTAGCCTAATAAAATATAGTAAGGATGACCCCTAAAAAAAAACCTATGTATGTGATGTTTTTATTTTATATTTCTACAAAATACATACCTTTCAATACAGGTAATCAATATCACACAAGCAAGTGTGCCGTTTTCCCGAATAGCAGCATACTTGCAAATGTGATACTGATTTTACACAACAGTTCAGTAATAAACAACAAGTTAATATTTAGACAATTTTGTCCATATTGTCTGTTTTTGCTCTATTTCACCAACACAAACAGTTCCAATCCACAGCAGAACTGTTGTGTAACACACATTTCATTCCTGTATCAATCATCATTTTTTAACAAATCAATCATTCAGCAATCATTGCTTTATTCCTGAATGAATCAGTCTGAACAAATTGGGTGAATACTTGACTCAATGACAGTTTTAGTTTCATATTTAAAGTATAATTTCATTCAAAATCATTTCATATTTTAAATATTCAAAATATAATTTTTAAAACAAATCTCATAGCATGATTTATGCAAATGTAATTGGCTAATTGCAGTGTAAATACATTTACACTTTGTCTGATTATTCTAATTGAATTTTGATTAAATGTAAGAAGGTGACAAACAATGATGCATACATCTAATATGGTTAGAAAAAAACTGATCTTATAAAAGTAAAATGTCCCAGGAAATCAATTTAAGGTGGAAAATATCACCCCTTACTGAAAAAATCACTGCTATGAACTAACTGCTGCACTGAATATGAAGAATATGAAAAACTTTGCGAGTCGGCTATCCAACATCGAGGTATCATTTTTGTCAATATTACACACCCCTAGAAGCAACATTCAATTATTAATATAGGATAAAACTGATCTTATAGTGTGCGTAGACTAGCTATCTAACAGTATGGCTCATGAAACCAGATGTTATAATATTATACAAAATCTACCCAAATAGCAGTGCATCTTTGTCAAGATAACCGACTCACAATCTTCATGGGTATCCTGTGCTGGCCGGTGCTGGGGGTCAGGAGCTGTTTGGCCACGGCTTCTCTCTGGGTCAGGTTGCTGCTGCTGAGGATGGTTCGGGACCCGTCTTCATTAATGACCATGGAGGCTCCAGGGTGGATGCTGGGTCCATTCAGCACTGCCTGCCGGAGTTCCTTCACGTTCCAGGGTGTCACCGGCTGTGGGTACGTCAACTTGGTAGCAAAAACCTAGAGGAACCATATCAAACGACTTTCAAAAACACCAAAATCAGTATTAAACACTTTTGTACAATGGCTGCTAAACTGGATATTTCACTGCTAACAATGACAACATATGAACGCTACCTCTCGTATAACTCTGAAATCGCTCTTTCCATATCAAAGCAAGTACAGAGAGAGTTACTACAGCTACTGGACTTTAGTTCGGGACCCGTCTTCATTAATGACCATGGAGGCTCCAGGGTGGATGCTGGGTCCATTCAGCACTGCCTGCCGGAGTTCCTTCACGTTCCAGGGTGTCACCGGCTGTGGGTACGTCAACTTGGTAGCAAAAACCTAGAGGAACCATATCAAACGACTTTCAAAAACACCAAAATCAGTATTAAACACTTTTGTACAATGGCTGCTAAACTGGATATTTCACTGCTAACAATGACAACATATGAACGCTACTTTCATGCCTCTCGTATAACTCTGAAATCGCTCTTTCCATATCAAAGCAAGTACAGAGAGAGTTGCTACAGCTACTGGACTTTAGTATGTATTGTTTGGTGAATATGTCATGTCCATGTATTTCTTTATTTGATAAGTAGCTGTTCAATAAGCAGAATAACGAACAGTCAGCCCAAACACTATCAAAAACGCTATCAAAAGGTAAAATCCAGTCTCACCATTGGTATTCCAATCTCATTGGTTCCGATGTACATATCAGGACAAATGACTGAGCGTGCAGCGTAATCCACACGCTTTCCCATCATGTGTTTCCTGAACAAACCCTCTTTCTTCTCCAAGAGCTGAGAGACACATTCGAAAGAGACAAACACTTCAAAACATTATTTCCCACCTATTTTACTTCATAATGGATTCTGACCTTGAGATCTGCCACACACTGACCTGACGGATGCCTGGGAACTTCTCAGTCATCAGTTTGTCCATGTCGCTGTCAAACACGATGTTGACGTGACTCTGCAGGCGGATCCACATGTTATAGAGCTTGTCTGTGAGAGTCAGGCCTTGGATTCCCGTTAAGAAGGTCTGATCTATCTGACTGATCTCTGTAGATTCACTGGACTGAAGAAATTACAGATCATGAACACACATGGCACTTCTCATAAGAGAGGTGCAAATAAATGGATGGATTTGAAATGGAAGGAAATCGCAACTGATTTACTATCATTAAAAATATACACATACAACTGCTGAAATTAAATCAACAAAACACAATATTTCCTCAAAATTAACTGAAAATAGATTTATGATCATTTACGTAAAACGATTTACAATGTACTTCCTCAGAATGCACATGATTTTATGGATTTCCCCTGTTAAACACAGAAACATTCAATAAAATGTTTACTTTAGGGAGTAACATTTTTTGGACCCAGTCTACAACTTGGGAAGTTGAAATAAATGGTCAAATTGTCTTAGTTTTTATAAATTGGTTTGTGTTGACTGTATTTGTCATTCAACCTTGGTACCAAAGTTATTGACAGAATTATGCATATATTATTTGCATTCATTTATGGACAATTTTACCATATAATTTTTCTACAAACCAACATTTAGTCCAAACTACCCCCTACTGAGTAACAGCTCAATTTGGGGTAAATTTGCAATCCTGTTACCCATTCTTTTTTTTCAAATTGTAATGAATTTCTACATTTAATTAACATCTATGTGCCAAATTAATAGAGTGCAACCATTCTATAAAAATAATATTCAAAAAAAGCTCACAATGTTATATGAGTTTGAAGCCTTATATGCTTCATGGAAACTACCACATACATAAAGAAAGATTCATGCAAATTAAATAACTCCGATTCAAAGTGATAACAATAAATGTAGCGTATTATTGTATTTAGTTTATTGTTAACATAAATTCTTCCCACCTGCTCCATCTCTGTCTGTGTGTCTTCAGTAGCGTTGGTCTTCTCAGCAGCGATTAGTGCGAGCAGTTTCTGAATGATGAAACTATCCTTTAACACGGCCTGGAGGTTCACGGTCTGTCCGTTGGTGAACATCTGGTCTCCCAAACGATTAACAGGCCTGTACCTGTACACCACACACACACAACTCATTCAGTCAAAAATCTCTCTGTAAAAACAGGAAACTACATAATCATCTCAGAGTAATGTCTAACAGGTTGTTGTGTACAGGGCATTGTACATACAGTGATAAACTTACCTGCATGGAGGAACCACAAGCAACTCCAAAAAGAAAACTTCAGGACTGAAGCCTTTCTCCGAGTTGTTCATGTCAAACCCTGAGAACAGATGCTTCAGGAAGAAACCTAGAGAATCAAAATGATACATTCAAAAAACCTTTTGTTTGCATTACGAAACCTAGAAAGGAAATGGGAATTAAACTCAACCAATCTTACCTTCTTTCTCCCAGAGTTTGATGACGTGTTCTCGTAGCAAACTTGGTGTCAAGAATCCACGTTTGGTAATCAGAGAATCATCTGGAAGCAAACACAAATACTGTAGATACTCACAAACCGTAAACCCACTGTAGATCTGCATTTAAACTGCTAAAATACAGGATTACATTTAATAGTTTCTTTCTTTCATTGACTGCATACATTTTAAATATTTTAAAATCATTTAGAAGTTTTTAACATATTGTCATTGATTGCATTTAGAAAATTTTATTTTCAAAATAATGACAAAATACGCTATCCAGTATAATAGAGTTTGTTATACTATAAATTTACTGATGAAATCCTTTATTATCAGGCATTATTACTCCATTCAAGTCCTCACCCATAAAGAATACAACTATATAACTTTTTTTTTAACATTATTTTCTGCATTATATTCAGTTTATCGCATGCACTGATGTTCTCGAAGTGATAACATGCTCTTATGTGGTAAGAAGAAACCCAAAACACTTTATAATCTGCATCTATTCACCTCCGACTCATTGATACAGTAATGGTGGTTTGATGGTGAATGATCACCAAACAGCAAAGTACGGTCTTATTTAAACTGTGACCCTGGACCACAAAACCAAGTGTCAATTTTTCGAAATTGAGATTTATACATCATCCAAAAGCTGAATAAATAAGCTTTCCATTGATGTGTGGTTTGTTAGGATCGGACAATATTTGGCTGAGATACAACTATTTGAAAATCTGGAATCTGAGGGTGCAAAAAAATCTAAATATTGAGAAAATTGCCTTTAAAGTTGTCTAAATGAAGTTCTTAGCAATGCATATTACTAATCAAAAATTAAGTTGATATATTTACGGTAGGACATTTACAAAATATCTTCATGGAACATGCTCTTTACTTGATATCCTAATGATTTTTGCCCCAGCGACTTAAAGGGTTAGTTCACCCAAAAATTAATATTAGGCTGCATTTTACTCACCCTCAAGTCATCCTAGGTGTATATGACTTTCTACTTT